GTAGAGACTATTATGTATCCCCCTCCGATAAGTGTAAATATGGAGGAGAAAACCTTTTCCCATTACTTGGAGATTGGCTGGTCAAGAACCACAACCCAAATTCCTGTCTGTTGTTTATTGACTTGATCACCGCCGGTGTTCAAGTGTGCCCCACATGGGCTCACCATAGCCCGTGCTACTTGCACCGCTCCTGTGCCAGGTAAGTTACGGGCTCACCATAGCCCGTGCTACTTGCACCGCTCCTGTGCCAGGTAAGTTACGGGCTCACCAAAGCCAGTGCTACTTGGAACTTGTTCCGAGTAGCTGAATCTATAACAACAACAACATTCAAGTGTGTTGTCTCTCATGCACCCGGGCTCATAACTCACTCTCTCTCTCACATCTGGATTGTGAGAGATTGCACAACCGAGGGTTAGAAAAGCTGGGTCGAAAAAGGTTCAAGAGCTAACAGCTCGATTTTGCAGGTACAAATAGCAAAATACACTCTCACGTGCATTCATACACACTCGCGTTCATTCATACACACTCACGTTCATTCATACACTCACGTTCATTCATACACTCACGTTCATTCATACACTCACGTTCATTCATACACTCGCGTTCATTCATACACTCGCGTTCATTCATACTCTTACGTTCATTCATACACTCGCGGTTATTCATACACTCTCGCGGTTATTCATATACTCGCGGTTATTCATACACTCGCGTTCATTCATACACTCGCGTTCATTCATACTTTTACGTTCATTCATACACTCTCATTCACAAACATTTTTTTATTGGTTTACTCTGTTGTTGTATTTAGATTCAGCTACTCTGAACAAAAACTTGTAGCACGGGCTATGGTGAGCCCGTAGTGGACTTGCCTAATAAGAGTATAATAATAATTTGTATTTGCAAGAAGGTACAAGGGGTTGGTGAGACTACATAAGACTGGTATTTTGACATCTATAAAGCCAACAAACTTTGTAAAATCTCTTTATGTATGTACCTTTACCTAAATTAATATTCTAATTCTAATTCTAATTCTAAAACATTCATGGAAAGCCACTAACACACATAGCGTTTCTGGCAGGTCCTTAATCTAACATATCAGGTAAGGTGAAAAGGTACATTGTAGCAAGGTACCTTTAGTTATCGACAAATACCTTTTACGGTACCTTTAGTACCGTTAGCAGTTATCGACAAATAACTGCTATGTAAATTGACAGAGGTGATTACATTGATAAGGATATATGTCTTGCGATGCTCTCGGACGCAGGTTCGAATCCTCGTGACGGCCCTTGTGGATTGGTTCATATGTGTCTTGAGTACTAATATTGGGGAAGTGGGTAGTACAAGATACAGTGTGAGTTTGAAGTACAAGATAGGAAACTATTTAGTCTCCGTGGTGTAGTGGTAAGACACTCGCCTGGCGTTCCGCGAGCGCTATGTCATGGGTTCGTATCCTGGCCGGGGAGGATTTACTGGGCGCAATTCCTTAACTGTAGCCTCTGTTTAACGCAACAGTAAAATGTGTACTTGGTTGAAAAAACGATTCTTCGCGGCAGGGGATCGTATTCCAGGGACCTTAGGATTAAGGACTTGCCCGAAACGCTACGCGTACTAGTGGCTGTACAAGAATGTAACAACTCTTGTATATGAGGATGAAACTAGGTACTTTTTGGTTTTACTTTTGAACGTGGGATGGGTTGGAGAATTTTTTAATTCATCAGGGAGTTCCAAAGACTGGGGCCCCTTTTATTTGCATGGAGTGTTTGCATAGATTTTTGTTAATTTTTATTTCTATTAAGTTTTAGTCTTAAGTGTTTTTTTCCCCACCTCACCTTGCCCGAAACGCTATGCGTACTAGTGGCTTTAGGTCGGAAGCCTGTCGGCCGAGCGGACAGCACGCGGGGCTTGTGATCCTGTGGTCCTGGGTTCAATCCCAGGCGCTGGCGAGAAACAATGGGCAGAGTTTCTTTCACCCTATGCCCCTGTTACCTAGCAGTAAAATAGGTACCTGGGTGTTAGTCAGCTGTCACGGGCTGCTTCCTGGAGGTGGAGGCCTGGTCGAGGACCGGGCCGCGGGGACACTAAAAGCCCCGAAATCATCTCAAGATAGGTATTGTATGTACTAGCTCTATCTATAAATCAATCAGAATATTTGTAACTCTGCATCTATGTATGTAATTTTCCTAAATAAAATATTATTATTATTTAGTCTGGCTCTGGGGATATCAGAGATATTTATTTCTGGTGTGGTGCTCATAGGGTTCTATTTCACCTATCAAGGAAAAGTTTTAATTCAAGATTAACATTTAGGACCAAGGTTTTGTACATGTAGATTACACATAATAATGTGTGGAGTGTTTAGCATGTTAGGGGACTTAAACAGAGGGGCTGTGTGTTGTCTGAAGACAGAATTTGTTATAGTTCTCATAGCAGATTTTTGCTTAGTGATGATAGGCTTGAGATAATTTGCAGCAGTTGATCCCAATGCACAGATACCGTATGTAAGATGGGGATAGATTAGTGCGTGGTATAATAAGAGGAGAGCAAAGTGGGGAACATAATATCTGATTTTAGAAAGTATACCAACCGTTTTTTAGACTGTGGGTATGTGTTGTACGTGGGTGCTGAAGTTCAGTCTCTTTGTCTATGTAAAGGCCAAGGAATTTCTCCCTCATTTTTATTGGTGTTGCTCCCTGGGGAGTCTATCTATTGTCTATCTCAAGTTGAATCTGATTTGAGGATTTACTACCAAATAGAATGTAGTAGGGTTTTTCTATGTTTAGTGTAAATTTGTTGGTTGACATCCATGAGTGGACTTGTTTTCATTCATTAAATAATAAATAAATAAATTTTTATTCAGGTAAGGTACATACATACAAGGTAAGATACAAAAGTTGATGGATTTATAGATAGAGCTAGTACATACAATGCCTAAGGCCACTATTACGCAAAGCGTTTCGGGCAGGAAAAACACTAAGACTAAAACTTGTTGACAATATTGTTTAAGTGTGTGTGTGTGGGGGGGGGGGGTCATAATAGACAAAGGTAGTATCGTCTGCAAGTAGTAAAGGTTTAGGAATGTTATATACATCAATGATATACATCACTACCAGTCTCCGTGGTGTAGTGGTAAGACACTCTCCTGGAGTTCCGCGAGCGCTTTGTCATGGGTTCGTATCCTGGCTGGGGAGGATTTACTGGACGCAAATCCTTAACTGTAGCCTCTTGTTTAACGCAACAGTAAAATGTGTACTTGGTTGTAACAACGATTCTTCGCGGCGGGGATCGTATTCCAGGGACCTGGCCGAAACGCTACGCGTACTAGTGGCTGTACAAGAATGTAACAACTCTTGTATATATCTCAAAAAAAAAAATGATTTGCCAAATGTTTCTAAGAAATAGGAGAGATCCCAAGATGCTGCCCTGTGGCACCCCTTCTGTCAATGGTAGAGTGGGGGGAGGTTATGTTATTGATGGCTACATATCACTGTCGGTCACTGTAATAGAAACGGCTATAGATCAGAGAAAGGCCTCGGACACCATAGTGGTGAATTTTAAGTAAGAGGTAGTTAGGGTTTATAGTATCAAAGCCTTTCTATAGCCTATAGAAAAGCCTATAGCCTATAGTATATAGCCTTTATCAGGTCAATGACGAGACCAATTGAGAAATCATTTTCGTCAAGGGCTGTGTTGATTATATTAAGCAGACTAATAATGGCATCATAGATATTTTTTTTTGGGGGGGGGGAGCGGAAGACAAACTGGCAGGGACTTACATGTTAAGTTTTACAAAGTAGGAACGCAGATGATGAGTCACAATAAAGTGGCTGAAGTATGTTGACCAGACCACACACTAAAAGGTGAAGACACAACCGACTTGAGACTGGTCCAGGACGGACTGAAACGTCGTCGTCCCTCCACCTTTTAGAGTGTGGTCTGGTGAAAGTAGGAATAGAGCTGTTTGTAAATAATTTTCGAATATTCTTCAAATATTACCTGGCACAGGAGTGGGGCTGTATATATATGTGTCGTGTGTTAATTTACTCCTCGCCAATAGCTTTTCCAGATAATAATAATAATAATAATAATAATAATAATAATAATAATAATAATAATATTATTATAGCAATAATAATTGCTATCGGGCGGGCGTTTCTGCCCGAAACGCTTTGTGTAATAGTGGCTTTAGGCATTGTATGTACTAGCTCTATATACAAGTCCATCAACATTGTATCTTACCTTGTATGTATGTACCTTACCTGAATACATATTTATTTATTTTGCAGGCGATGAGTCACAATAACGTGGCTGAAGTATGGTGACCAGACCACACACTAGAAGTTGAAGGGACGACCAACTTCGTCAAAAGTCGTCCCTTCAACTTCTAGTGTGTGGTCTGGTCAACTTATTTATTTTATTTATTTATTTAATATAATATAGTTACAAAATTGATCGTCTCTGCATTTAGCATAGGTCTAACAACTGACCCTCCTTCAGGGTGCGACCTTGCAACACCTGCCTCACCCCCCAGGGTACCTGTTTACTACTAGGTGAACAGAGGCATTAGGTGAAGGGAATCGAACCAGGGATCCTCTTATTGTGTGTCGAGAACAAGAGAGAGAGAGAGAGAGAGAGAGAGAGAAGATTAAGCCACCCAAAAGGTGGCTTGGGCATGAATAGCCCATAAGTGGTGGCCCTTTTGAGCCATTTCCAGTATCAATAGATGATACTGGAGATCTGTGGAGGTGCGACTGCACCCTGCGTGACGGGAGATGTCTCCCGTGACGAGAACAAAAGCTAGGCCTACATATATAGGAACAAGGTGATGGCCAATAATTCACATGAGGAGCGTTTAATCTGTGTTTTAGTGTTTATGTATAGAAATTAGTGTAAATTTATTTATGAAATAAATTAGTGTTTATGTATAGAAATTAGGAAAAAATACTAATGGGACGCAAGTTGCATACATTTTACAGTTATTTTTCTGATTTTTTTTCCAGATGAAACAGATCTCCAAAGAAAAAGACGTGACATAGAAAACGAACAGGAGTCTGAGAAAATGGACACAAAGCATCTTGAGGCAAGACTAAAGAATACTCTTAAAGGGACCAATAACTCAGAATTATCGTTTATATCTCAACTGTTTTCTGGAGGGAAGAAAGACCACCATAGCAGAAAAATGACCGGAAACAAGATTAAAGAAAACGCCAATTCAAGTATTCTAAAATCAAAGCTTTTAGATACAAATCATATTAACGTCGGTCACAAATTTAGAAATGATGAAGTCTCGACAACCGTAATTCCCAAGGATCCGATGGAAGTCACCCGTAACAGAACTGAGAAATCAACAGAAATGAGTTTTTCCGCTGAACTGAAGGAAATCACCGTTGATGATGATGATGGTGGTAAATCATCACCGTTGGTTAGCTTGGACTCGAATCTTGTCCGTGGCAGAACCCCGGGTCCAGTACTGCCTAATACTGAGGCGTCTGGGTACTCCCGTGTCGGGATCATCACCTGGGCGACCATCCACGACCAGCCTACCACTCCGCTCAGCCTGTCGCAGTACCAGGGCGACCTACGACCCCGACCCTACGCCGCTTACCCCCACCTGCTCGCGGCTGATGTGGATGTCTTCGGCAACCTGTTGAAGGTTGCGGAATCGACAACTGAGGATGTCACGATGAACTCGCTGACAGCTCGACCCATCACCACCTCCAGTCTCCCACCCTCAACAAGTACTAAAGCTTCTGGTTTAAATGATGACATAAAAATAACTAATAATCTTGTATCCACCGCATTTGACAAATCTTCCGGGGCTGGATCTTACGTTGCTACTCCGGCCGTGACTCCGGGTCTCATTCAGGGTGTGATTCAGTCCGCCCTGCAACAGTTCTTCTCCCATCATTACCTGACTCAGCAAATGGCGGACTTAAAGTCGACACTCCCAGTCCTGGTGACGACCACAACTCCGTCGACAGCCACACTACCGACCACCGACACCATGGACACAGTCGACACAACCGCGCGGGTAACAGAGCAACTACCACCCACCACAGCAGACGTGTCGGCTGAGACTCAGCAGTGGAAGACACCAGCCAGCAGACAGCCAGGGCTCAGTGAGCTGTCTCTTTTGGACTTGCCAACCAGGGCTCCAGTTAAACAATTGGAGATTAGTAGAGCCACTTACGCAGCCTCGTCCCCTGCGGCAGCTACATCGGTATCCGGTGCCGTCACAACGGCCATTCCACCTTGGGATGACCCCAAGGAAGCTCTGTACACCAGGACACCCACACGCAGACCTGGTCCTCAACCCTCGCCATTATCACCCCTATTCAACTCGCCTGTCAAATACAAGGTGCCAGATACAGTAACTGTATCAAGGAACCTGACATACGCGAGCAGTCGTCCTGATAATTCTTCTAGCAGTATCCGGACAGATAAGCCATCGGTTAGTAACTGGCAATCACCATGGGGGGTTAGCAAGCACGCAGGACCTGCAAGTTCAACCTCGTCTTTCTTAGGTTCGTATGGACGACCTTCTTCGATGACTAATTCTCCTTCCAGTAGACCTCAGCCTGAGGTAAGGAACACTCCGACTCCAGCCACTACCAACCTGTCCTGGGCGAAGATCGACAGTAATTTATATGTGATATCGACAACGCGTCGACCGCTCTCGCAGCTAACTACCACAGCAACAAGCACAGCGGGAAACGATTCGTTCTCAACTCAAATTGATCAGCAATTTTCATTCTATGGTCAGAGTAAAACCACCAAACCTGATCTCTCTCTGGAGAACTCATCAGCAACATTAAACGGGCCAATGGTAACATCTTCCATGAACCTGACAAGATTTAATCCTCTTTATTTCGAATCCACGACTCCTAGACCTTTTGTTAGGCCAATTTCCACCTCTAGTAACCAGCAGCAGCAGCGTCATCCTCAACGACCTACTAACTACAGCAGCACTCTGACAGCCTTCACCAGTGTCGTGGACACTCCAAGATCGCCAGGTGAGACGATCACCACACAGGAAGTGACTCCTTGGGACCCACTTTATTTTCAGCCTGAAACTCGGCGACCTTTTACAAGGCCAAATATAACTCGCACCAGGCAGCCTTGGCCGCCTCTGAGTGACGTGGAAGATCCTCCTGGAACCGCTGTTAGTTCTCTCCTGACCAAGCCTGAGGCTCTACGTACTCCGAGTAGTGGCAGCACTGAAAATACAAATATACCCACTAATTTAAGACTTACTCTCGCTGCAGCAGCCACCAATATTAACAATATCGGCTCGGAAGTACCAGACATGGTACACGAGGCGGTAGTGACCATACCACCACCGCGCACACCACCATTTTATGCAAATCCTTACTCGCTCCCTGAAGAAAATCACTGGACGCAAGGCGAGGTTATCTTTATCGCTCCTGAGCCACCGGAAAGATTACCTTCGTCGCTTATCAAAATTTCAGAAGTAGCCACAACAGATGTAAATTCCACATTTTTACCAACCAAACACATCAATACAGAACTTCCTTTGTTTTACGAGACAACCACAGCACAAGAAGAGTCTCTAGGCACCCCAACCATCCACAGGATTTCTGTCCTTTCGCCAAGACCAGCAACAACTCCAGAGACGCCACCGACTACCACCTGGAGCTTTACAAACCCTTGGTCGTCCCATGGCTGGTATGACTCCCTCCCGACGACCCCAGACACAGATGACGCCACAACGACCCCGAAGTCTACTGGGACGCGGTGGGACTTGCCCACAGCACCCAACACCAGCATGACTTCACCGACATCACTTCTAGCATCAACGACATCACTAGAGCCCCAGGAGCCCAACCATCAGTACCATGCCGGTGAAACATTTGACACCGCCACTTTGTCGGCTTTGTATTCAGATTTTCCATTGCGCTATTCCTCAACGTTCACTTCCTTCCACACGTCAGCTGTAGCCTTTTCACCTTCCAGTAATGCACAAACATCTCATGGCACTTTACCCGAGTTTGAGTCCGTGGGGACAAATTATTTACCAAGTACATCTGTTGTGAACACCGATTATAACGAGAGCGTCCCCTGGTGGTGGCCACGACCGCAGGTTTCCATACAGAAAGCAAGTCCAGCTGCAGATCAAGGGGACGAGAGTGTCGAGAACTACACGCTAACAAACTATGCAGCTGGCGGTGATGGCGTTCTCAGTGTAACACCTCCCTGGGCGGCTGCCAGCTCTCGAACTCGCTCGCCGTCGACTCCATCAACACAAGGGACAGGAGAACCAGCGGGTGTTACTGTAGAGGATGTCACACCACAGACTCCTTTTGGTATTCCCGTAGTTACTGGTTCGACCACTGGACACATGCAGAAGTTACATTCTCTCATAATGAGTGCTGCACAGGATATTTTACCCCAAAACACTTCTGACATAGATATACTGAACTATTTAATTGATGTTGTGAAAAGTAAACCAATGGGAGGAAATAAGCCGCTACATGTGGAGATGAGCGACTCGTCTCCACTAGCCATCATGGCTGAAGAGTTGGTCGCCGCCCCAACACTAACCTTACAGGGCACAGCTCAACCCATACTAACTCTTCGGGAGACCTCGCCCACCGCTGTGACTACTCCACCCGGTGGCCATGTCTCCCCGCCCACACAGCTCCAGCACGCCCACACTACCACCATCACCACTAGTGTGTTGCTCACTTCCACCATACAGGTACAGACATCTTTACCGCCATCGACGACTGTCGTTACCACCAGTAAGTCAACATGGACACACCCTCGGCATCCTTCCCTCGAAGACACCTCTTCTGTCACATACCTTCACGGAGACTTGGGGTTATGGAGCTCACAGGACTCGAACAGTGATGCAAGCAGTGGAGGGAGTGAGGATCCCACAACCATCGTCACGCCAGAGTATGCTTACGTATCTGTCCTTCGGGCCACTTCGAGTGTGTTTCACCCCATTCACAGTACGTCTTACATGGCTGCATCAGGGTCTGGAGGAATGTGGTCTCGGTACCCTCAGGTGATTTCCAACATTCCTCAGGCAGTGCAGTACCCTGTTGAGGGACCAGGAGACAGTAGTCATAGTAGCTATCCATCAGGCAGCAACCTGGCATGGAGTTTACAAGGAACACACACTAGTACTCTTTCCTTCAACCCTAAACCTTCGTCAGCTATCCACACTGCAGCTTTGGGAATATTCCCTCAGGACGCACAAGCTGGCCTCACTCCCCCGATTATATCTCTGGTCCACGCCCAGGGACTCGACGGCATCACACAAGCCTCTTTCATAAACAGCCTCCAACCACTCGTCTCCACCTCCCAAGTCTCCTCTACCTCCAGTAACCAGAGTCCAGGTGGGACTAAGACTGCGGCCACAGCCATTCAGTCGCTAGGCAGCACGAGCTCAAGGCCACAATGGGCCGGTGTGACCATCGTCTCGGGTGACATCAGTAAGACAGCGTCCGTGCAGGGTGTCGTAGAGGGCGAGGAAACACTTGCTGAAGTCACCGGCATGTCTTCAGGCCACGGGGACAACATGGCGATAGCGGCGACGTCTCACAACCCGAGTGTGTCCACCGTGACGATCGCCAGCAACAGCATCCCCACCAAGCTGTCTGTAGAGTGGGTGAAGCGGCAGATCCAGGAGCACCTTGCTTCTACCACAGCCTCACCACCGTCCATAACTCCTCTTTATAGTAGTGTACCGGACTGGTTTACCGGTGTTCAAAAACGCACAACAACAACGACGCCACGGCCATCTACAACAACATCAACAAGAGAAATCGAGATTAAAATCCCAGCAAACTTTATCAGCAATTTACTCTCACAGTTAAAAGTCTTGAATAGCTTTCCTCATTCACGAACTGCACCTTCCAACTTTCTTTTGAGCCCAATGAACCCACTTCACGAGGTGCTGCAGAAGCTTGTGAGCGCAACAGACGGCAACTTGAAGGAGGCCATAGAGCTCGTCTCATCTCTGAGTGACACTTGGAGTCCCAGCACCACCTTAACACCAACTAGCACATCTGGAGAGAATATCTCGCCTCCATCATCATATACAGAGCTCCAGACTCGAGGAACATTGACGCCTTTCCCATTTATTACTCCCGAGGTCGGGATGGGGATACAGTCGAACTCCTCATCGCTGACTACTTCGACGAGCACAGATAAGCGTCCCTCACTTGCTATCATAGAAGGCAAAGAAGAAATAGTTCCTTTGGCATTTTATTCCCCAGAAGTAACTCCTTTGCCTTTCTCGTCTCCACATTTAACCACATGGAATCCTTCGGGCTTTGTGCAAACGTTTGAGTCAGTGTCTGGCTGGGAGGGGCATGACCAAGGAGGACTCGGGTCTCCAGAGACAGTCAGTCTGGAGACCCAGCCACCACACACACATTCCTCTCCTGCTTCTCAGCTCCTCCAGAATGGAGACCCAACGCCATATGCTAATAATAAAGCACAATCATCGGTGAATATAAGTGTACAAGAAGTGATCCAAAAAAATCAGCTTTCAAGTCTTATCCAGAAACTTCTCAAGGATTATATTGCAGAAAATGTTCAATACAACGCCAGTAAACACAGTGTTCACAATGAACATGAAGAGGATAACATGTCACAGTCGCTCAAGCAGTCAGGTAATAAACCTGTGGACATGAACATGGTGGCGGAGTGGGCGGAGACTATAGCAGCCGCTCTCCTCAACAAGCCCAACACTTCCAGCCTTACTCCACACCAACCCAGACCCCAGAGTCTGGGTGCTGCTGTCAAGGAAATCATAAACACCATCTTAGAACGCATTAGGACGTCTGTGGGGGTGATCCCTGATCCAGCTCTTTTGAAGCAAGTTATATTTCAAGTGATAGACAACAACGCACTTACTAAGCCAAATGCGAGCGCGGCTGCTAGCGTCTATGGTCCGTCTGTTGATCCAGCTCCACCTCTGGTGTCGAGTCCTGAGGACAGATATACATATTCTTCACATATTGTGGATAACTTTCTCCCAGACAACGACTTTGAGGGAGGTAATGGAATATATAGTTCCATTACACAGCCGTCTGTGTTTTATTCCCACAAGGTATCCACACTTAGCAGTGTTCCCAGCCGGCCTACTGGAGCTACGGTCTTCCTGTCCCCTCTGGCACCCGTTCTTGTCCCCAGCCGCTGGGCCACGTCCTGGGTGAACGAGAGCGACGCTGCCCTCTGGCGAACTCCCAATCCTATCTACCTCTCCCATGATGCTGCTGACATGCTGGCGGCAGCCGAGTCCCAAGCTGAAGCATTTCGCCCGACGAATTACGTCCTTGCTATGCTGCCTCTCTCCCCAACCGCCACCAAGGCTGGCACACTGGGGACAGCCACTGTCATGGTGATGCAGGCAGTGGTGCCTGACGTCCACTCCTCAGGAGGGGTAACGAGCGTGTTCTCTAAGGAAATCCAAGAGACGGGTGTTAAGTTTTCGGCATCCTCCAGTGACAGCAAGCATCGCATTCAACCTACCAAGACTGTTTCCAGCGACAAAGTGCAGCATTCAACGTTTTACAGACCTTTACAGGCTCTCGATAGCACCACAGAACACATTATCACACAGGAGGGTGTCATCTTTCCCTCTTCTCACTCTATAACTCCACCTGTTGACATTTACAGCTCTACAGTCACTCCTGAAGAACAAGCAATATATTACCAATCATCAGTTTTGAATCAGAAGACCTCGAGTTCCTTGTCATCGTTTGTTGACAATAACTCCCTCTTGCTTGCTCTTAAACCTCCTCAGATTGACATTCCACACTTGTTATATTCCCATTATGTGTTTGGGTCTCTATTACGGCCCATGATGGACCCTGTGGCATCCCCGGATGATGTGGCTCTTTGGGAGAGAGAAACTGCTACAGAGTTAATTGCCAGCTCATTACTTCAAGAAAGAGTGTCTGTGACTCCTAGACCTGGCGAGTCGTCCTTGGTGTTCGCTGCTTATAGCAGTGTTCAGGAGATTGCTTCAAGAACCCTTAATTCGCCCACCTTTCACTTGGCTCTCCAGTCAGCTGTGGCGAGTGACCAACAACAAACGAGTGTCACAATAACGCCAGTATACCCACCTTCGACCCACTCCAAGGGTGGGGATGCTTACGACTCGGTCCTTTACTCTCAAGATGAGGTCTATGATTCACTCTCGGATTCTGATTTGGAGGTCTATGATTCACTCTCTGACTCTGATTTGGAGGAAGACTACGCGTCTGTGTCTTACTACAACGATGAGGGAGAGTATGGTTCAAGCTCTCACTCTCTGGGCAAGCAAGAGCACGACTGGGTCTTTCCATTCCAGGGCGAGGGAGACTATGAAAAAGTCTCTAACTCCAACAGCGAGGGAGAGAACGAGGAGGATAAGGAGCCGACGAGCGAGGGAGAGGAGTGGTGGGGTACGTCCCAGGCCCCTCCAACTCTCATCACCGACGCGGGTTCTCCACCACCGCTGCTCTCCACCACTAAAGACATTAGTGACTTAGCCAGCCAGGTGTTGCTGCTACAGAAGCTGGTCTTGACCATGATGAACAAGACGTCAGGCGATGACACAACCTCTCTGGTGCCACCACGCAACGCAACTGCGCAGACATTTTCACCTCCGGAAGATTTTGGAACAACAGTCTTTCCTCCTTCGGCCTTAACAGCAACAATTTCTAAAATCAAACCACAGTTTCGTCCGTCATCGAGCGGAGGATCAACATTGCAGTCCTTACTCTCTAACTCTGCAGCTACACCTTCTCCTATCTTAAGTTCTGGTTCAGTTAAGAAGCCCTTGCTGGAGTTGCTGAACCCTGTCAGTTCTTCAAACTCCTTCAGTCCCTTCCTGCTGAAAACTGGAGTCTCAGAGTTGAGCGCCGGACCAGAGAAGGTTGCTGCGTCACATGTAAAATCTAACCCTCAACCCACCACTATTTCTGAAGGTTCGAGTCTATACGCGGGCTTCGCAAATGAAGAAGTATTGTCACTCGTGGATGAAACCGAAGGCAAAGAGAATGCATTTGAAAATCACAAACTAGAGCCTGCTTTCAGTAGAGAGAATCTGTTCAATACCACGTTGTTTCCAACAGCAGTTAGAGTCACGCAGTATGAGCCTTCCGTTGTTGCTTTATCATCCTCATCAACAAGGGTAAATCCATCGATTCCTGTATTAAGTACCACACCACGACCTCCATGGCTGCCTTCCTCGCTGCCCTCCACTAGCCGCCCCCTGCCTACTTATCTAGCATCGTTGTCTCCTCCATCTTCCGGGACGTCACCGCAGTTTCCAGGCAGTGTGTCCTTCGCTAGCCGCCCATCCAGTGCGGGATACACCGCGGGCACTGACAGTTCCCAACAAGGATCTGCAGGAGTGCTCATGGAACTTCCAGCGACGTCGACAGTACCAGCATCTCCCTCGGCCCTGGACCCCAGTCCAGCAGATCCTGTAAGGGAAACAGCGCAGCCAGCAACTGGAGGTAAGACTGTTGACAGGTCCCATAGAAGGAACGACCCAGCCAGCAATGTAAAATATGACTGTGATTACAACTCCACGCCCTTCACACACACACACACACACACACACACACACACACACACACACACACACACACACACACACACACACACACACACACACGCCCTATGTATCAAAACCCACTTGAGAACATGCACTCATGTATGGCTTGGAACACACCTGATTGCCTCTTATAATAATTTATTATTATTATTATTATTATTATTATTATTATTATTATTATTATTATTATTGTACCGTGACCGTACCTCCGCCAGTGTATCGCTGTGGCAGCGTCGGGAGCGCCAGGGTCGCCAACTTCCTGAACCCGTCGTATCCGTTGGCAGACAGAGGCCCCGGCAGATGCTCCTTCAGGCTCCTGGTTCCCGACCTCGACGTCTGCCAGGTGGGTGGCTGGCATTCTTCCCGCCTGCCAGGTGAGTAAGGCAGGGTGATAGGGAGGCAGAGAGGGAAGGTTGAGGGGGGTGTAGGGAGGGACCCGGAGAGGGGAAAATGGACTGAGGAATAAGGGGGAAGGTAGGTAAGACGGGGGAAGGAGAGGGGGGGACATATGGGAGGGGAGAAAGAGAAGAAGATAGTTGGCGAGCAACTTTGAAGAAGAGAAAGTAGAAACAAATAGAAGAGAAAAGAAGGAAATAAATATTGAAATGAGGAAGTAAGGAAGGAAGGAAGGATAAATGAAAGAAAGAAAGCAGGGAGAAAGGATAAGCGAAAGACAGGAGGGGGAAGGCAGTACAAACGTACAAGTTCCTCTCATTAACTACCTTGTCTCTAATTGACCTTCCCTTGACCTCTCTAAACCTTTATTTGTACCTCTGGCTAGTCTGTGATCTTTTTTGGTCTCCGCGGACCACTGAGAGACCAAAACAGTTTAGACAGTAACCAGAGGATCAAGAAACTGAGAATAAATTGGTCGTTTAATCCCTCTGGCTCAGTTTCCCGCCCTTCGCTGTTGACCTTTCGTGCCCTGGTTCGACCTTTCGACATTTTCTGACCTCTTGAGGGCGTCTTTGAATGGTTCGAATCTCTCAATCTCAGTGGTTCGTTGGGCTTTATTCTTCGGCAGGTTAATATTATTTCTAGTTCGCGGATATTGAGATCGTCTTCTCTTGCAGCTTCGGGTCGACTTCGTGGACTCTGCGATGCTGCTGCCTGTGCAGGGACGTTGTCGCGACCAGCGGCTCTTTGTCGCCGGCAGCGTCGTCACTCCAGCCGTCAACGCCTTCTGCGGGAGGAACGCCGGCCAGCATTGTGAGTGACGGGAGTGGCGGATCAGGGGCCAGATTCACGAAAGCACTTACGCAAGCAGTTACGAATGTGTACATCTTTCCTCAATCTTTGACGGCTTTGGTTACATTTATTAAACAGTTTACAAGCATGAAAACTTGCCAATCAACTGTTGTTATTGTTATAAACAGTCTCCTGGTGCTTCGGAGCTCATTAACTGTTTAATAATTGTAAACAAAGCCGCCAAAGATTGAGGAAAGATGTTCAGATTCGTAAGTGCTTGCGTAAGTGCTTTCGTGAATCTGGCCCCAGGAGGCCTGCACGGGGCGCTAGTGAGGGAAGGAAATATAACTGAAAACTACTTTTTTGTTTTCCTTTCAAAACAGCTTTTGACGGTATTTCTACTTGAAGATCTTCTAACAGGTGTTGACTGAATTTAACCTCTTAAGTAGGTTACGGGATCACCATAGCCCGTGCTACATGGACACTTCGTTCTGAGTAGCTAAATCTGAAACAACAACACATCTTTAAGTAGGATGTGACTGTAATTTGCTTCCAGACAGTTTATAAATCTGTTTTTACCTCTCGGCAGTTACTAACTGTATTTGTCCTCCAGACAGTCTCTTGAGTGTATTTTACCCTTAGACAGTTACTCTTTATTTTGTACTCAGTTTCTGACTGTGATGTCTTCTCTTAACAGCTTCTGCCTCCTGTATCTGACCAATAGTCAGTTTTGTGACTATTTTATCTCGAAACAATAATTTAATTTTCGATACAGCAAACAAATGCATTGACAGAGGCAGACATATAACTATGGGGAAGGGGGGGGGGGGGAGATGTATTAAATACAGTAGTATGTGGATAAGTCAGCTTGATTGTATTAAATGCATTGTTATGTGGATAAGTCAGCTTGATTTTTTAAACTTTTGACAGTTTATTGTTTTAAGTTTTGTATTACTGTATTTTTTATTATGTACTTGTGTACAGGGATTCATGAAACTCGCTCCTGCCTGTATTGTCTGATATTTGTGGTGTCCATGTTTGGTTCTTTGTCACTGTAACCCTCTGTTACTGTAACCCTGTCACTGTAACCTTGTCACTGTAACTCTGTCACTGTAAGAATTTTATCCTCTCACTGTGACCCTCTGTCATTGTAATCCTCTATCATTGTAACTCTGCGTTAATGTAATTCTCTGTAATTATAATAATTATAATCATTGTAACCCTTATGTCAGTTTCCTGCAAGCATTATTAACTCTACCTAAACCACTATGTACTCTTCCCCTACTATTATAACGCCCCCTTCTACCGCTATTATGTCCCCTCCCACCACTTTAAATTCCCCCTCCAACACATCCACCTTCCCTCCCCACACCTGTAAACCGCCCTCCCCACACCTGCAATCCTCCCTCCTCACTATCTATAACCCCCGCATCATCCACCTGCAGTTTACGTGGAGATGGCTGAAGGGAGTCGGTCTTCGGAGCGATGGGTGGACTTCGTTGTGGAGACCGTTGCCAGCACCCACATGTACCGCTATGGGCTGTGGATCACCCAGGTCTCCTGCACCAGCCCCGACCCTCTGCTGGGTGAGTGCTGGGGGAAGGCCGGGGGAAGGGATGGAATGGTGGGTGTCTATATATCACTATCAAGTTCTCTTCTACTGTGTACTTACTTTTGACTTTCACTTATTCGTGTCTTACTTACGAGAGGGTACTTTCCAGCCCCGCGCGGCTGCCTGCAGTACTTCTTGGGGTCGTCGGGAGTCATCAAGAGTTACAACTTCGAGGGCCACCAGTACCTCAATGACCAGGACTACCGCATCTGCGTGAGGACGGCGCCCGGGGCCTGCGGCCTTACCTTCTCCGCTAGGCCAGGAGACTTCGGCATCCAGAAGCTCAACTCCAGATTCGTCTCCTTTGATAGGTGGGTGAGGCGTTGTCTCTTTGTGTATAGTTGTCGCGTAAAGGTGCCTTGTAACACGTTGCATATCAACACGTTTGGAAGGCAAACATTCCAATCACCGTGGCAATCAGGACAATATACGTTGGGCGGTAAGAGACTGGCTCCAGGCCGGGCTCGGGGAGCAGAAGAACTCCCCCGAACTCTTGGGTGGAGTTCGGGGAGTTCTGCTCCAAGTCAGATGTGTGGAGAGAAAAACATGGGTTATAAACCCACGGAACCCCCTTACCCGCCGAAGCCGTAAATGCCAACACATTACTTCAGTTCAAAATACATCTGGAGAACATGCATTGGTTTCGAAAGTATCTGGGCCAGAGGTATTGAGGCTTCATGGGGGGCAGAGGGAAGCTGCCCCGGACACTGAGTGGCAGCATTATGCTGTGTGTAATCTCAGCGCCGCTGCGGTTGACAGCATAAGACAAAGGAGAGGAAATTAGGAGGAGCAGACGCTAAGCCAGTATGATTATACACCACTTGAAAGGGGTTGTAAGGACAAGGAGCCGAGATACGAGGAAGAAGGTGAGGGAACAATGCCCAAGCAATTGAGCCATTGGAGCTCGACGGATCTTGGGGGAACCCCCTTTGGGGGCCCCTGTCTCTAGCACAAGCAAGAACCTTCCCCCCCCCTCCTGTTCTGTTCCTCGATTTCCCATCACACTTCAAATAAACACTCTCTCACCCTGGTGCCCCTGTTCACCTAGCAGTAAATAGGTACCTGAGAGATAGCTGCTAGGGCAGCTTGGGAATGTGTGTGTGTGTGTGTGTGTGTGTGTGTGTGTGTGTGTGTGTGTGTGTGTGTGTGTGTGTGTGTGTGTGTGTGTGTGTGTGTGTGTGTGTGTGTGTGTGTGCGTGCGTGCGTGCGTGCGTCAGAGAGAACTACATACGTAGTAGATATAATAGAGGAAAAAATAAATCGGTTAGAAAGTCTAGGGTCTAAGAGCTAATAACTGGTTTCTACAGACACAAATAGTAATTACAAATTGTAAATAAACACATCATCCCTCCTTTCTCTCCTTCTCCTGTTCCTCCTACTTCTCCTTCTCCTCCTCCTCCTCCTCTTCCTTCTCTTCCTCCTCCACTTCCAATCATCACTCCGCCTCAATCCTCAGTAATCTTTTCCTTTCCTTCATGCTACCGTGATCAGGATAAATTTAGACAATTGCATTTTCCGTTGACAGTCTCGCACTCGCTAACAACAAAGAGAAAACGGAAAATGAAGAAAAGTTTATATGAACTCCCCCTCCCGAAAGAAAAAGACACAGAAAACGGAAAATCCAGATTTCGAAAATTTGTGGCGCTGTAAATCGCTCGCTTGAATTTTATTATGGGATTCTTGATATTGTTTTTTTGAGAAATGGAACTCTGTTGAGAGCGTAAATTGGGCTCGACACTTTGGAATGGGCGGCCGGCCGGCGGCGCCGGTTTTGGCGGGAGCATCTTGCGCTGGAAATTAAAGTAATGTTGAAAGGAGTTTTAGTTTTATGAAGAAGATGCAGGCGGAGCACTCGAAACACTCAAGCAATCACGACAAGAACGCGTTCGCGCACGCCTATGCGCACATGTACACACACACACACACACACACACGCACACACACACACACACACACACACACACACACACACACACAGTATCTCACAATACACATCACTCAATTATCGAAGTCATCATACAGCATCATCTCAAGTTTCCCCAAACCGTATATCAAATATCCTGCAGTATAATTCATCTCCCTGTGTCATCCCCAACACCTTCATCACAACCCATCAACAATGAGGCTTCACAACACATCGTTGTGAAAGAGAGAGAGAGAGAGAGGTACACAGATTTTCATTACCTTAGAGAGTTGGCTTCTCTCTGGACTGTGAGAGATCTGTTGTTAACAAAGGTAAATAATCTTACAGAAATGCTGATATATATATATATATATATATATATATATATATATATATATATATATATATATATATATATATATATATATATATATATATATATGTTTCTGCCTAACAAGCAGACTTTTCGTAAAATATATAATTATTTTTAAATTGTTTTATGAAATAATAAAGTTTTCATTGTATTATATATGGTTGCAATTTTGATGTTACTTGAGTCAAACAAATATAGAAGTTTGATCAAACCTATGTAAACCGATCCTAATCTAACATAACTAAGTCAGTAATTCATATTTCTAATATAATAGATTATTATTGTTAGAAAGGAACCAATCTGGAG